AAAAGAGAAGAAGGCCTAATTTGGGGCAAATCCACAGTGAAAGGGGCATATAATACAGATGTGTGATAAATGAATATTTCTCTTTTGCATTTAATAGCTAATTATTGTATTAGGGCCAAGGTTTTCCCCCTTTTCTACTTCCTCACCCAGAGCTCAACCAGTGTGGTTTCTTTCTTTTAGAGATTTACCCAGGCCAAGATCTAATCAGACAGTAAAAGAAATTCTAAGTTTGGGCTAATGGATGTATTCCTGCTCATTGTGTATGCTCAGACAGTTCTGGGAAAATGTGAATCCTCCTTTTTGTCAGACGGGTGATATGGAAATTGATGTCTCTTTGACCAAGATTTGGTAACACAGGTCATGTACCCCAAGACCCTCATATTAATATAGCCCATCACCCATTGTATTAACCAATCATAGTTGATTACCACTCTTCAGAAACACCTACTCTTCAAAGGACATATAAACTGTAATCCCACCACTATTAGGGGTCTTTGGTCTAAAAGAGATGGCCAACTGACCACCTTTTTATTAATAACATGCTGACCTTATTAATAAAATGATTAAATTACCTAGAAACTATATTTCTTGGATTTTTTTTAATCATCAGAGATAATAAGCCAGCAAAGGAGACTGAGGAGTGATCAGAGAGGTATGAGAAGAACCAAGTAGTGTCATAAAAACTCAGAGAAGAAAGAGTATCCAGGAAGAAGAGATAAATCACCGGTGTCAAATGTGGTGGATAGATTATGAAGGATGAAAGTTGAGAAAAGACCATTACATCTGGCAATTAAGAAATCATTGGGAACTTTGAAGACAGCAGTTTCACTTACATGATAAGGTATAAGCCAAGATTGCGAAGATTTGAGGAGGGAAGGCTAGAACAATAATATGCTATTTCATACATGGATTTTGAATGAATATCTATGGATATATACATAGAAACAGCATATATTTTCATTGAAGTGTATGCTATAACAATTTCTGAATTAGATCACTTCCCAATTAATTTATTTCCAAATTATTTGTATCAGACATTCTTCTTAATTTCTTAATAGCAAAAATAACAAAAATATCAATAGTTAAACACCATATATAGATATTTAGAAATACATAGATATATAGTTTATATATAAAGGCAGTTTGATGTATAAAGAGAGCAATGGACTCAAAGTCAGGAAGGCCTGTGTTCAAACTTCAGACTCTTATTTTGTGCCCTGGGCAAGTTACTTAACCTTTCTCAACTCGGTTATTTCTTCATCTGCAAAATAGGTGTAATAATCACTGCTCTCTCACCGGATTGTTGTGAGGATCAAATGAGAAAATATTTGTAATGTACTTTGCAAACCTTAAAGTGCTATGTTATATAAATGTTAGTTATTTTTCTTGCAATAATTATTATAAAGTACTTTCAGCCTTACAAAATACTTTGCTTATGACTACCCCTTAAGGCAGATGATGCAGGTTTTATTACCCTCATTGTCAAGATGGATAAACCAAAATTTAAAAGCATAAAGCCATATATATTTAGTTATATGGCTAATAAGTATCAGATCCAAAACCAGATTGCATGTCCTTTTACTCCAAATACTTCTCCCACCATAGATACATTGCAGTTATTCAAATAATCTTTATAAATATCCAGTCCCAGCACTATCTAGTTTCACAGAATCATTGTTAATTCAGGGTATATGCTTGGCTAATATGGGACACAAATGAATGAAATATATTAATATATTAGCAAATATCCAAACTTTATTAATGAGATAATACTAGAAATACATTAACTTTACTCTATTAAGAACAAAGAAAGTACTGAAAACATGGACTTTTGTGTGTCCATAAACTACAACCCAATTGTTCTATTGAGTAGAAATGTCTGCAATTTAATTGAGTTCCTCATGAGGTAGTTACTTCCCTTTCAATGAAGATGCTCAAGAAGAGGCAGCATGAGGACGTTCCAGAGAAGGTCTTGTATTGGATAGAGTAGAGGGATTTCTATCCATTTAGGTCCCTTCAAACTCTATGATTTTATATGATTCCTAAGAAGAATAATTGTATGCAACTGCAGAAGGTCATCAGAAAGACTTGGTAAAAGTGATCAGCGTTCTTCCAACCATCATTTGATGTCTTTATTTTAACTGTGAATCACAAAATCAATCAAGATTTGCTGAATGCCTGCTCGGTAAATGCAGAGGATATACTTAAAAAAAAAAAAAGATGTTTCTGCCCTGAAGGAGCTCTCAGTCCAATTGGGGCAACAAAATTAACAACCATGAAAAGAGTAGCAAGTAAAAACAAGATATTATATGATTACACAGTAGTTAATGAGGTACAAATTATTCATTTTATAAAAGATCAGATGAGAGAGAAATAGCGAGAGTGGCAGCAGTGAAGGAAGATTTCATGGAAGAAGTAGGCTTGAAATTATATATTGCAAGGATGGTGAGTATTTGAATTGAGAATAGTCAGAGAAAGACATTTCACTTGATTGTAATAGCATGATTTAAGGTATGGAGATAGTAACGAACATGGTGTTCATAAATTTGTGAAGGGACTGGATGGCAGGTGGTTTTTGGAAAATAGAAATAAAGTTTGTTATAAGGTTATAGAGCAACTTGAAAGACAGGCAAAGACCTTTTTTCGTAATGCACTAGATAATAGGGTGTCATTGAAGGATTTTTAGAAGAAGGATGGCTAAATGAAAGCAGTGTTTATGATCATTTATATAGCAATGTCCAAGATGAACTGGAAAGAGAAAAATTAAAGTTAAGGAGGTCAGCCAGAATACTAATGTAGCAATCCAAGTATGAGAATAATGAAGGTATGAATTAGAGCAATGAAAGTAGGAATTTAAAGGAAGCAAGTTTGGAAGCATTCAGGAGGAAGCAAAAAAAAATGTGGGGGGAGCAGCTGGGAATAGAGTTTAAGGATAGAGACACAACAAAATAGTATCTAAAGATATCAAGAATGTGTGATTAGCAGCACAGTAGTATTGTTGACGAACATGTAAGTAGGGAATAATAAAATATGGTTAAAATACTATTCCTAATTTCAAAATTAAATGAAAGCTCTACATAACCATATTCTCCATAGCTAATTAAATCATTTAAGTGGCAAAAGTACCCTCTTACTTTGATCTAAAGTTTTGCTATTATTTGCTATTACACAGATATTGTAAGATCAGTGAAGGCTGATTTTTCTTTGAGAACACATGGCCTTATACATATGATAACTTTTCTATGGGTTGGTCCGAATGGTGAGAATAGTTATCTATTTCACTAATGGTAAAAAAATCTATTTCGTTTGCATACACAGGCATGGTGTTACTACTATACAGACATAAAAAAAAAGTTATATGCTGGAATACTGAAAGGAAGGGCCTGCTATGGCATAGTTATAAGACTTCTCATTTTGTACTTTTTGTTGCAACCAATCTATGTTTGGGGAAATGATTTCAGAATGTTTCCCTCTCACATCCTGTACAGAAAAAAAAAAAGAACCCAAAATGCATGCACACATACAACCTCCCTCTCTTCCCCCAAAACAAATATAGTTGCATAGACTACCTGGCTATCCTGTTGTCTCGCTAGGCAAGGAAACAACTACAGGGATGGGCTTGGGAAGAAGGGATTAGGAGAGCATAGCTCATGTTCTTTCTTATTTCCTTACTGAGTGTGCTGATCAAATGTTTCTTAGCCCAAAAGGGAGAGTAGAGAACAATATTTGGTGTAATTTACATAGACCATTAAAATAGGAACCCTATAAATCCTACAGGGAAAAGCATCAGTCTTCCATTTCTGTAGAAATAAATAGGCTTTTCACATAGTTTTTTGTCTTGTGGGCTACCTAGCAAGAAAAGTATGTTGTTGTTGCTGTTGCTGATTTAAATTTGATACATTAGAGAATTTTACCAATGATAGAATCCAAAATCTTAGGCCAATGAAAAAGTATTTTCAACAAATTAGCTATGAATATATTCTGATAATGTTTAAAATACTTTATACTGTTGCACCTCAAGGAAAGACTTAAAAGTTCTCCTTCCTTGACTTTACCACAATGAAGTAAAAAGTATTTAAATTTTTTTTCTAGGTGTTTAATACTTTTGGGAGTCATTTCAAGAAGAACGTTATCTAATTTATCCTCATGGGATAAATTATTATTCCCTGAGAAACAAAATAGCAAAATACCTTAGATAAAGGATTAATATATTGCCTAATGTGTTGAATGCCAGGGTATGACTTAAAGATCTGCTTTAATATTTAGTCAAAAAGTTCTATATTCTAAACTGAGACATGTCTAACCTATTGGTAATGACCATATACCTATGTGGAAAGCATCCTTTATTTTCTAGTATTAAACCATGAATTATTTATTACTAAGGAATGACAATTTGCTGGCATAGGTCTAAATAGTTCAGAGTCCAAGTAAGAAGGAAAAAAAAAAGACAAGGCCTTTCCATTTGTTTTCTTCTCTTGTTTTCTACTCCTTTTCAGGGTGGAGCATAGCTTCCTGTCCTTTTTGCATCTAGTTAGTGAAGATGTTGCCCCAAAGTAAAAGGTAAGAAACAAAAGTATACCAAAAGATTCATCACAGGTAGATAATTCATTTTTTTTCCAATCAAGGGAGGTTAAAGGGGATGAAAATATCATAATCCCCCAATTTTATTGCGAATATTTTTTAAAAGGGATAGAATCATTTAGGGAGGAAAACATTGATTTAGAAGCACCAATACACAATTAAAAATAGAGTTTTATAATCCAATCAGCAAGAAAATGAAAGAATTGCTCTAATCTAAAATTCAATTTACATTAACAGTTTCAACAAATATTAAGTCCTTACTTTAGTGAAAGGCACCATATGCCAGGTTATTTGGAGGATATGAATAATTACATGTAGTCATTGAAAGCAATTTCCTTAGCCATCTATGATTTTATTTTAAAATCTTTTTACTTTTATAATTTCTGGTACTAGCAAAAAACTCAGCAGTAGATGCTTACCAAAAAGTTTTCGAACTTCAGTTGGCTTGGTTGTTGAGGAGTTATTGTTTTCTGGAACAGCTATTTTTTCACCATGATCTATTTGCACTGTATCCACTAGGAAAATTCCACACATGAATAAAAGGTTATTCATCATTTCAGCCTATTAACATAAGTATAAAATAAGAAATTCATAGCAGTAATGAGAAGTAAATATCCAGGTGTGTTTTTTTTTTTTTTTTTTTGCTTGAAAACTTCTTTATTTAGATCTCAGGGCAAATCACTAAAATTTTCTGTGACTGAGTTACTTTATGGGTAAATGAGGACTAGTTAACTAGTTGACCTTCTAGGTTCTTTCTACCTCTAAAATTGATGACCCTGTATTATAAACTTCTTGTTAACACAGTTTTATGTAGTTTCATCTGACTCAATAATTATCAGTAACCTGTAAATATACACTACAAATATCATAGGGACAATTTAACAAATATTTAATAAGCAGTTATTTTATATAGTATACTGTACTAGGTGTTTGTATACAAGGACACACATACTACACTACATAAGCTCAAAGAGTTTACAGTTTATGTAGGGGAAAAAACATTCATAGTTAAGTGAAAATAAAGTATATAAAAACTTATGCAAATTGATTTCAAGAAAAAGTGAGACAATTGGGGGTATTAAGAAAGACCTTTTGGAAGATTCTGGGAAAATGAAGTAGGTCAGAAAATTCCAAATTCTCCAGATTTCCCCCACAAAGAAGACAAAATAGTGCTTCAGGGCAAATGTAGAGCAGTAAAAATAAACAAGAGTGGGGGCAGAACAGTAGTTCTTTTGGGACAGTTGGAGATCTGGAGAAAAATCCTAAGACTAAGGTTTGGTTCTAGTGAAGTGTAAACACCTCCAAGTTAGTTCCATTGAAACTCTAAGTGGAAAGCCCTGGGGCTAGCTGGGTTGGGTGGTAGCCTCTGCCCCATCCACAGGAATTTTCACCTCCCAGTCAGTGTAGGGAGTTGAATGTCTGAGTGGGGGAAGATTGAGGGAACCTATGGTGACAAGGGACTACAGGCCTAGCTATACTGCTGAAATGTGGCCTGGGCAAGAAGGAATCAGCACACACCTGGTGAGTGCAGAAGTATGGGAGCAGGGATGCTGCTGGCTGTGGGCACTTATAGGAGTTCAGAGTTCTTGGTTTCAGTTCCAAGACAGAGGGGAGTACTGAAGAAGAATCTGAGGCCAGAGGCACCATCTCCACACCCCATGACTAGAAGTGATTACAATAATAAACTGCTACAAATTAAAAAATAAATGAGCAGGCAAAAGGGAAAGAACCCAACTATAGAAAGTTACCATAGGAATAGAGAAAACTGGGGTTTGTCTTCAGAGGAGGATAGTGAAGCAAAAAAAGCCTCTTCTACCCCAAAGAGTAACATCAAATGGTCACATGCCAAAAAAGAATTCATAGAAGAACCTAAAAAGACTTTAAAAATCAATTGAGATAGATTGAGGAAAAATTAAAAAAAAAAGAACAAGAGGGGGCAGTAGAAATAGAAAAAAAAATCCACCAATCACCTCCTGAAAGAGATCCTATGAGAAATTTTGAAACCCCCAGCTCAAGGAGAAAGTATTATGGGCAACAAGAAAAAAAAAAACAACAAAACTCAAATATGGCAGAGCCATAATTATAATCAGACAAGATCTAGCAGTGGTGACACTAAAAAACTGCAGGTCTTGGAACACTAAATATTGAAAAGCAAAAGAACTGGGGTTATAGCCAAAAATATCATACCTAGCAAAGTTAAGCATAATCCTGAATGGGGAAAAAAAAAAGATATTCAATGAGTTGCCAGACTTTCAGGATTTTGTTACAAAAAAACCCCTAAACTTAATAGAAAATTTGACATACAAGATCCAAGAGAAATATAAGGTACACATCAAAAACTAATTACAAAAAACTCAATAAGGACAGACAGTTTACTTTTTATATGAGGAAATGTAAAATGTATGTCTAAGATTGTTATTAATTATTGGGTAGTTTGAAAGAAAGACTGGAGTAGGCCTGAGTATGATGTGATTTTAAAAAGTAAAACTGTTTAGGTAAAGGTAAAAAGAGTAATTATCTTATATGGATGAGGTGTGAGAGGAAGAACTAACACAGAAGAACTAGATGGGGGTGGGGGGGCTTCTAGTTCTGGAACCCTGTTCTAATTGGGAATGGGTTATAGATGGAATAGTACACATATATCTAGAATGGTATGAAAGTCTTCGAAGTTCAGAAACCAAATAAAAGGCTAAGGGGATAGGTACAGGGGAGAGGATAAGGGAGGGATTTTTAGAGAGAACCATACTCACATCAGATGTGGGTTAAAGAGAGAAAGAGATCTTTTATTGGAAGTGGTACCTGCATTGTCCTTGGAAAGAAGCTAGGAATTTTAAATGGTAAAGATAAGGAGGGAGACATGGGGACTTGGAGGCAGAAGTTATAATGATACAAATAAGGAATAAATATCAGCCTACTTTGACTGGAATAAACAGTGTGTGAAATAAAGTAATATGAAATTAGACTGGAAAGGTAAGTGGGAGTCAAATTATTGAGATTTTTAAATACCAGAATGAAGAGTTTGTATTTTCTCCTAAAAGTAATATGGATCCACTGAAGATTTGTTGATAGGGCCTAATTTGTTCAAGATAAGCTTTGGCCCAAATATATTGGTGTAGGTAGACAAGAAATGGGAGTCTTATAAAATTGTTTTTGATTTATGCAAGATGCTGTCAATATATTTAAAAATAAAATATAGCAAAATATAAAATCAACTTACATCCATCCTCACAGAGATTCTTGCATTCTTCCAAAGATTCAAAGTTGTTGGCATTGCCTAGGCACCCGCCATACTTGAAAGGTTCACACTGTTTTGATTGATTATTATAGAAATACCTGGGAAGTAATCCTCGACAAATTCCAGAATCTTGTTCCAAAAAGCAGATTTCAGGCTTTTCTAGAATAACGATGATGATAATAAAAGCATTGGATTTATTTATAACATCACTAGTTTTGAGTTAGGATTCAAAAGAGCAAGAACATTTCAAACTATAAGAAGTTTGTAGTAAAAATAATAAAATTTCAGAGTTGAAAATATAATTTAACTTTCCATATTTAAGTCTGAATTCTGATTCTAGTGAACTTGAAATGATTCTTTCTTTTGGGGTAACACCCTCAGATTTATAGGCCAAATGTAGAACAACATTGGATAAGGCATCAGATAACCTGGTTTCCAATTTTAGCAATTACCAAAGTAGCTGTGTAACCTGGATTGTTAGCACCTCTGGGCTTTAATTTCTGCATCTGTAAAGTGAAGGAACTGTAGATTAAGACCTGTAGTGGCCCCCATAGATCTGATCTATTCCAACCCTCTCAATTTATAGATGAATGTCCTAAAGCCCAAGGAAGAGAAATGATGTGTTCAAGATCATGCTGGAAGTAAGTGGCAAAGGAATGAGTATTCAAATCCAAAGCCAGGTCTTCTGACTACATTACTGTTTCAACTGTATCTCTATCACTTTCTCTAAGTTTTTTTCCATATGTAATATATAAACATACACAGACACAAACAAATGGTCATGTATCCATATATACACATGTGCATATGTAGCTCTATATATGGTCATATGTGTACATATTGACACATATATATTACATATGTGTAGTTATTCAGAACACCCATTTATATATGTATTTAGATTGCCAATGTGGCCAGTTTCAAACTTGTTATATCAAATCAATTTGTCTTTGTCCTAAAAAAATGTAAATTGATTTAAGAAACAAATTATTTAGGGTTATATTGACATAGGTATTGGATATTCTGCCATGTAATTTCCTAACATTGGTAGAAGAGAATATGTTGATGGAAGAAGTTACAGATGAAAAATTATCTGGCTGATTGACCCCCCTTCACACTCTATTCTTGAACTCTATTTTTATGCCATCCTTTTTCCCATTAGTCTAGCAGCATTTTACCAGATTTTTATAACATGAAACTTATTCTTAAGATATGGCATGTTAAGGTAGAGACAGGGAAGAAAATATAGGCAGGTTTTTCCTTGGGAGATATTACTGAGTGCATGACTCAGTAACTCCTTTTCCATTATAACTTTGATAGTTTGTGAAGATACTTAGAATGCTGGTTTGTGTTAGAGCATTAATAGCAGTCTGCAATGGAAAGGATAAAGTGGGAGGAGTTTTGCTGCTCATGAAACACTAGTGTGTCTGATATTTATCAAGAACACTATGGAGGGAATGAATGAGTCAGAATAGGAAGGAGTTCCCATAACTGCATTTATCAGATAAAATCTGATACCTGACTATGCCAGGTATATATATATATGTATATATATACATACACACACACACACACACACACATATATATATATATATATATATAACCTGTACTGTCCTCATACCTGACTGAGCCCCAGGTAGAAGCACAGGATTGTAGGGACAGCAGAGTTTCCCTGAGGTACTGAGCAATAATTAAATTGCAGTGGTGTCAATTTTGTTATCCAAACCAGGCAGGTCCGCTGGTTATCAAAACAGTAGTCAAGGAATCTGAATTTTTGACTTTGTTTATCTCAACACAGAATGAATGGGATACTGAAAGAATTATCTGACTGAAGGTATCTTTAGTTTCAGTCACCATATAATTGCATCAATTCTTTCTGTATACATTTATTTCTATCTTTCTCTTCTTCCCCTTCTTTCTTTTCTGTCTTCATTTCTTTCCATCTTTCTTCTCTTCCTCTCTTTCTTCCTTTATCTTTTCCTTATTCTTCTGCTTTTTCCTTGTAACATAGTTTGAAATCTGGTACTGCTATTCATCTTCCTTCACATTTTTTTTTGATTCCCTTGATATTCTTGAACTTTTGCTTTTCCAGATGAATTATTGTTTTTTTTTTTTATCTCTACAAAATAATTATTTGGTAGTTTAATTAATATGGCACCAAATAAGTAAATTAATTTAGGTATAATTGTCATTTTTGTTATATTGATTTGCTCTATACATAAGCAATTAATATTTCTCCAATTGTTTAGATTTGTCTTTATGTGAAAAGTGTTTTTTATTGTGTTCCTAGAGTTACTTGATGTGTATTGCCTAGTAGACTCCAAAGAATTTATATGGCCTGTAGTTATTTTAAATGGAATTTCTTGTTCTATCTCTTTCTACTATTTTTGGGGCAATATGTAGAAATACTGATGTTTTATGTGGGTTTATTTTATATTCTGTAGCTTTACTAAAGTTGTTAATTATTTTGATTAGTTTTTTAGCTGATTCTCTAGGGTTCTCTCAGTATACCTGATGGTATCATCTGCAAAGAGCAATAGTTTTGTTACCCCATTGCAGGTGCTTATTCCTTCAATTTCTTTTCTTTTTTTTTTTTTGTCTTATTGCTATAGATAGCATTTGTAGTACGATATTGAATGATGATGGTGATGGTGGACGTGCTTGTTTCACCCCCGGATCTTATTGGGAAGGTTTCTAGATTATCTTAATTATACATAATGATTGCTTTTGGCATAAATAGATACTACTTATTTTATTTATTTCTATTTTAAGTGATTTTAATAGGAATAGGCTTTGTATTTTGTGAAGTTTTTTCTGCATTTATTGATATGATCATATGGTTTTTGTTGTTTTTGTAATTGATTGAATTGAATATACTTATAGTTTTCCTAATATTGAACCAATCCTGCATTGCTGGTACAAATCCCATCTGGTCATAATATATGATCTTTGTAGCATATTACTGTAGTCTACTTTCCAGTATTTAATTTAAAATTTCTCCATCAATATTTATTGGAAAAATTGATGTACCATTTTTTCATCTATTTTTGCTATCCCTGTTTTATGTATCAAAATTATAATTCTTTCATACAAGGAAATTAGTAGCATTCCTTCTTTACCTATTTTTTTCAAATAACTTACATATTCTTAGAATTAATTGCTCTTTAAATATTTGGTAGAATTCACTTTTAAATCCATCTGTTCCTGGAGATTTTTAAGTTAGGGTTATTTAAGTATTCTAGTTCTTCTTCTGTTAATATGTGCAATATATTATGGTAAATTTTCATTCATTTCACTTAGGGTATTAGTTTTATTGGCATTAATTAGGCAAAATAGCTCCTAATAATTACTTTAATTTTATCTTCATTAGTTGTTCACTTTTCATTTTTGATACTGGTAATTTGGCTTTCTTTTGTAAAAATCAAATTAAGCAATGGTTTATATTTTTACTGTTTTTTTTAATAAAACTAGCTCAATGGTGGGGAACCTGAGGCCTCGAAGCCACATGTGGCCTTCTAGATCCTTGAGTGCAGCCTTTTGATTGAGTTTAAGTTTTACAGATTAAATGGGGATTTGTTGTGAAGTTCGGATTCAGTCAAAGGGCCACACTTTAGGACCTATAGGGTCCTCAGCCCTGAACTATCTTATAGATTATTAGTCCAATGGAGTTTTTGTGCTATCAATTTTATTAATATCTCCTTTGATTTTCAGGATTTCTATGTTGTCTTTTAATAGAGAGATTTAAATTTGTTCTTTTTTCTAGTTTTCTTTTTAGTTGCATGCCCAATTATTTGATGATCTTTTTCTCTCTTTTACTGATGTACGTGTTTAGACATAAAATTCCCTCTAAGTCCTGCATTGACTGCATTTGACAAATTTTGCTTTATTGACTCTGTTGCCATTCTCTTTATTGAAATTTTTATTGTTTCTATGATTTGCTCTTTGACCCACTCATTCTTTAAAATTAGATTATTTAGTTTCCAATTAATTTTATTCTCTCCTATAGCCTTTTATTGATTTTTTATTGTATTATGGTTAGAAAAGAGTACATTTAATATTTCTGCTTTTATAAATTTGTGATATTTTTATGCCTTAATACATTGTCACTTTCTGTCAAGGTGCCATGTATGGCTGAGAAATAGGTATATTTTTTTCTATTCCTATTTATTTTTCTCCAGAGGTCTATCATACTTAAATTTTCTAAAATTCCCTTCATTTTAACTTCTTTCCTATTTAGTTTATGGTTAGATTTATCTAGTTCTGAGAGGAATAAGTTGCAACCACCACTAGTAATTTTACTCTCTAATTCTTCCTATAACTCATTTAACTATTCCTTTAAGAATTTGGATGCCATACCATTTGGTGCATATATGTTTAATATAGATAACTTCATTAATTATGGTGCCTTTTACCAAAATGTAGTTTCCCTGATTATCTTTTTTAACTAGATTTATTTTTACTTTGGCTGTATTTGAGATTGTGATTCCTGCCTGTTTTACTTCATCTGAAGTATAATAGATTCTGCTCCAACCTCTTATTTTAAGACTGTGTGTGTCTTTCTTTTTCAAGTATGTTTCTCATAAATAGTAATTGTTGGATTCTTTTCGTTAGGAATTCTTGAAAGACTCTATTTCATTGTGTCCATTTTTTCCCCTGAAAAAGTATATTTACTTTTGCTGGGTAGGTTATTCTTGACTGTAATCCGATCTCCTTTTCCTTTTTATTTTTTTAGCCTATTTCTTTACTTTGAACTTTATGTTAGAGTCCGGGGAGGGAAGAAGAGCTATCCCAAGCTTCAGGCTTTTTTGCCCTGCTGTTTCCCCAGCAAGTGAAAACAAAAGGTCCCTGCTTTCTTGGACCGCAAGTACTAGCAAACCTTCCTCTGCTACCAGAACTAGGCCCTCTGCTCTCTCCAACCTGTAACTGGGAGTAAGGCCCTTGCTCCTTTGTTACTGAAAGTACTCTTCTCTACCCTGGAACTGCTATCTGGAACTGGGTAATGAGTTGCTAAGGTGCACCCAGTCCTGTACCCAGTGGCTATACAGGGGTCCCCTGTAATCTCTTTATGAACAAAGGTCCAATCCTTTTACCATCTCTGGATGGTAAGAGTTCCATGCTATTGCTTGCTGCAGCCTCCAAGAACTACAGCTGGTGTTGCTGCTACACTGCTCTTCAGGACAGTCCCCAACCCAGTGTCACAGATCTCTTCTTCTGACCTAAGTAGTCTTGGACTAAGAAATAAAATATTTCACCCTGACCTTTTGCTGGTTCTGCTGTTCCAGAATTTGATTTGATGCATTATTTTAAAGTTGTTTGGAGGAGAGAGTTGGGAGATTTCAGCTGGCATGCTCTCTCTAACTCTATTTCTCCTCATAGATATATTAAACTTAATATGTCCCAAATTGAACAATTTTTCAGTTCCCAACCCCCTTTCTTTCTTATTTCCCCATTATTAGCAGGATTTTTCTCTATTCTAAGTTTATATCCAGGGACAGCTGAAATTCATTCCCCTATTATTATTGAGGGTATCACCACCCTGTTGTCATTGAGGCTCACAAATTAGCTGTCATCCTCAAATAGTGACTCTTGCCACCCTTCCAGTCCTCTCACATACAACAAATTGCCATATTCTTCATAATTACTTTCCCAAATGTCCTCCTTACTCATCTAATGCAGCTACCACCCTGCTGTAATTCCTGATTGCCTCATAACTAGATTACTGCAATAGCCTATTGGTTGGTCTTTTGGCCTCTAGTCTCTTTCTAGTTCATCCAGACTCCCCTTGACTGTCAAAATGATCTTTCTAAAGTGCAAGTCTGATCACGCTTCACAATTTAATCAACTGTAGCAGCCCCCTATTACTCCCCAAGGTGAAATGTAACATCCTCTATCTTTTAAAGCTCTTAAAAAGGAAACTAAGGAAGCCGGGAATCAGAGATATAGAATGAGAAGATTCCAGGCAGGAGAAACAGGCACAGAAAATGACCTGAGTTGGGAGATAGAGTGCCATGTTACATGAAGGGCAAGGATCCCAGCATCACTGGATTACAGAATATTTAAAGGTGAGTGAGATGTAATAAAATAATAAAGGTATGAAGGAGGAAAGTTGTAAACTTTTAAAGGTCACCTTAAACTTTATGCTTTATATTTGATCCTGGAGATAACAATGAGACATTGTAGTTTATCAGGTAGGGGTAGACAATAGCTAGCATTCTCATGGTGCTTGACAATTTACAAAGTACTTACATAAATGATCTTAATTGATCCTTCTGCCAACTCTATGAAAGAAACTACTAAAGGCATGATTAGTATCCTCGTTTTACAGATGAGAAAACTTAGGCTCAGAGATATTAAGTGTTTTCTTCAAGGCCATATACCTGGTTCAACTAGGTGTTACAATGGATGGAGCACTGAACTGGGAACCAGGAAGACTCATCTTCCTGAATTTGGATCTGGCCACAGACACTTGTTAGCTATGTGACCCTGGTCAAATCACTTAATCCTTTTTGCCTCAGTTCCTCATCTGTGAAATGAGCTGAAGAAGGAAATGGCAAACAACTCCAGAATCTTGGTCAAGAAAGCCCTACATGGAATCACAGAAAGTCAGATATGACTGAACAACAACACAAACAACTTATAGATTCTTGAGGAAGAATTTGAAGTCAGATCTGTTCTAAGCCTTTATTTTCTTTTTAAAATTTGTAATCAAATGCCTTGCACTAGTTTAAATTTAGAATTCTGCCTTCATTTCAAGGTCAAATGCCACTTGGAATAACAATTAGCTTCTTTTTTAAAGGGAAAATCAGAAAAGCAGTTTTCTATGTAAACCATTTTAATAAGCCAAAAAAGTTAATTTACCTTGTAGAAATTGTGTCTTTGTAGGCCTCCATGGGTATTCTACAAAATAAAGCAAATGTATAAATTATGATGTAATGCAAATATATTACTATTTCTTAATTTTAAATAATTTAATACCTTACATTTGTAGGTTAGTTTATTGTTTATGTTTCAATATTGTCCTCTCATTTTATCCTCATTACAGGCTAATGAGGTAGACAGAGCCATTTAAAAAAAAAAGCAAGTTAGAAATTAATGCTTGGAGATTGCTTGTGATTAAAGTGACTACCTAAGGGCACAGAGCTAAACTAGAACACACCCAAATAGTTGCATATGAACCAAGATTCTTAGAACTGGAAGAGAAATGAGATCTTGTCTAATACAACTTGTTTTGTCATAAAGATTGTTATGTCTTAAAGATTAAATGACTCACCAAAGTTTACTCAACTAGTTATTGACAAAAGTGAAATTGGGACTCAATTCTTGGATTCTAGACTAAATGACTTTTCCATTCACCTATACAAAATTGTAAGGCTTGCTATGTCCTTTTGCTCCTGTATAGTTTGTGCCATCTCTCTAGACAATACTGAATTTTAAACATAAATGAAGTTAATTAAAAGCCTTTATCCTCTCAATAATGTAGGGGTTCTTATTTGGGGTTGTGGTACCACCTTGGTCGTGGTCTGATGAAGCCTATATCCCCTCTTCTTGGAATAATTTTTAAATAGATAAAATAAAGTAAATATGATCACAAAGGTAACCAATTACATTTACTTATCATATATGTATATATATACATACATATACATATATGTATGTATATATGTATTTGTGCATGCATGCTTGTATGTATGTTTAAAAGTTTATGGACTCCAGATTAAGAGCCCCTACAAGTGGAATTCTTGTTAAGAAGAAACAATATATAATTTACTCTCTTTTAGACCTTATTTATACCTGAGAAAACAGAATTTGAACTTCAAATTATTATCAAAATATGCTAATTACTTCCTCAAAGAAGGGTTGGGAATCATCAATTGACATTCTTTTTGAATAATTTGTTTTATAAAGGGAAGCTTTTGTTGAAACAATCCATAAAATGATTTTTTTGATTCTAAAGAAAGAAAAGGAGAGAAGTCCTCAAAAGTGATTTGCTCAATATGTTAATAAGTGTCATAATTGGGGTTTGAACCTAGGTCTTTCTGAATAAAAACCCAACACACTCTCCACTGTTGCAGTCTGCCTCTATCAATTTTATTTAACTTTAATAAGTGAAATTTGTTTAAGGATATGAATGAACTTCAAACAAGCTAAACAGTTTAAGCTACTTTGGTGATAAAGGAATACAGGGACTAAAGCATTGGCAAGATATCAGTTTCATATTTAAATATTCATTGAAAATGCATAAGATTTGAAACAAAAGGATATAGTTCTTAGAAATATGTGTTGTTTATTCTGAAACATAACATATTTGAGCAAGAGTTCAAGATGTCTCTGAGGTTGCAAATCCCAAAGAGTGTTTAAACAAGAAATAATTCTAAAGTTTTGGTTCCAACCTATTCCTGTTACGTTTGTTCCCCATACTGATTCATTGATTGTAGTTTCAGCATTCAATTTTTTTCATATATGTAGTTTGAAAGGAATCACATAGCATCAATGGGAAGCCAGCCTATTTAAAGAAATAGGAAAGGCAGGAGACAACATATGCCAGGCAAATCAGACCACCACTACCACTTTGAACATAATGACCATCTATATCACCATCTCCCTTCATACCCTGCTGAAGATAGCCCAGGATCCTGAACCTAAGAGTCTTGGGAATTATCAATACCCACCAAACCACCTGACTTGCTTCCATCCCAGCCCCACAGCCATCATTGAGAGGAGAAATAATTATGAAGGAGGAGCTTACTTTTCTTATCACTACCAGCAACAGCTGAGTGACACCCATAAGCTGATAAGCATAGAAGTCTTGGGAGTGGTATCATACCTTCTAGCCCATACTTTCAGCTATCATCCAAGAAAGCAACTTCAGTAGAAAAAAAGGGGCCAGCATCCCCACCAACTGCTAACGCAACCACACAAAGGGCAGGCCAGCATAGCTGAAGCAGCAAAGTACCCTGAGAGAGAGATGGGAGGCAGCATGCACCAGGTAACTTAAACCACCACCGACACCTTGACCACCATTTACCCTCAACTTCTGATGGAGACAGTTTAGTGTCCTGAACCCAAGATGCTTTGAAATCATGAAACTTTCAGTTTAATGCCAGCAGCCATTAGCCTAGAAAGCAACCCTGGCAAAAATGCAGCCTGGAAACTGTTTCTGTAGGTACTGCACCTACATCTATTGAAGACCTAGAAAAAAAAATGTTCTTGCTACCACTGTCCTTTGCTCTGTTAAATGGTGCAACATCAGAAACTGATATGACTTTATCATGTCATTAAATGGCATTAAAGAAGAGATATTAACAACTGCTTTTTTAGTATAAGCTCAGGACCACAAGGGACTTGTAGTTTTAACTTTCCATATATATTGTCTCCTCCATTAGAATGAGAGTTTCTTAAGACCAAGGGCTGTCTTACTTTTTCAATCCATTGTAGAGGGCTTCTAAGCATAGCTGTGCTGACCAGACCTATCCCAGACTATGGCTGTAGGAAGAAGGAACTAGCACATATCTAGTGAGTGCAGTAGTATGGGGTAGGGATACTGTTGGCTATGGACATTTGCAGGAGAGTAGAGTCCCTAGTTTCAGTTCTGGGCCAGAGAGGACAGCTGTAGTTTGCAGCCACCTGAAGGACTACAGGGAGCAAAATCATTTGTGGGATAGTGTGACTGGGGGCCCTAGCTGTGGCTTAGGAATGGAGAGGAGAGTTCAAGGTTCAGCCCTAAGATAGACCTTAGAAAATAACATAAGAAGGACCTGAGGCTTTGGGCATCATTCCCCATACCTCATAACTACAACATGATTACACTAATAGCTGCTAAAAAAATTAATAAAACAAAAGATAAATAAATAAAAATGAGTAAGTAAAGGAAAAAGAACCCAACCATAGATAGTTACTATGGGGATAGAGATCTGGGTTCATATTTAGAGGAAGATAATGGTGCTAAAAAAGCCATTCCTTTTTCAATGAGAAATGTCAAATGGTCCTAAGCACAAAAAGATTTCTTGGAAGAACTTAAAAAGGACTTTAAAAATCAAATAAGAGAGATCAAGGAAAAATTAGAAAAAAAATAAGTAATCCAAGAAAATCAAGAAAATTATAAAAAGAAAGTCAATCAACTAGAAATAGAGAATCCAAAACTTAAGGAAGAAAATAATTCCTTGGAAATTAGAATTGGGCAAGGGGAAGTTAATGACATTCTAACACACCAAGAAATTATAAAACAAAATCAAAAGAATGAAAAAATAAAAAAGGAAAGGAAACATCTTATCAGAAAACACCTAATCTGGAGAGCAGATCAGGGAGAAATAAGAATAGACTACCTGAAAATTATGATTTAAAAAAAGAATCTTGATATAGTATTACAAGAAATTATCAAGGAAAATAAATCTGAAGATCTAGAACAAGAAGGCAAAATAGAAATAGAAAAAATCCACTTATCACCACCTGAAAGATCCTAAGAGGAAAACTCACAGGAATATTGTAGCCAAGTTTTGAAGCTTCTAGGTGAAGAAGAAAATATTGGAAGCAATAAGGAAAAAAATGCAATTTAAATATCACGGAGCTACAATAAGGATTGCTTAAGATATCTATCATGCTGCTGAGTGAAGTGAGCAGAACCAGGAGAACGTTGTACACAGTAACAGCCACTTTGTGCAATGGCTAATATTGATAGACTTAACCCTTCCTAGCAATACAAGGATCTAAGACATTTCCAAAGGCCTCGTGATGGAAAATGCTATTCACAAAGAAGAAAGAACTATGGAGTCTGAATGCAGATTGAAGTATACTATTTGCTCTTTTTCTTCTGTTGTGTTTTGTTTCCTCTTTCTAGTGGTTCCTCCTATTGGTTCTAATTCTTACTTACAACATCACTAATGTAAAATATGTTTAATAGGAATGTATATGTATAGCTTATATCAGATTGTGCGGCCGTCTTGAGTAGGGAGGTGGGGAGGGAGGAGGAGAAAAATTTAAAACTCAAAAGCTTATGAAAGTGATTGTTGATAATTCAAAATAAATTAATTTTAAAAAAAGAACTGCAAAAAAAGATATCTATCATACTTAATTTTAGCCTTTAAGGTAGGGAGTAGGGAGAGGGAAAAAATAAAATAAAAAGTGTACAGCAGAGAACAAAAGAAAACCAACAAAGAAACAAAGAAAAACTGGGAATCTTTGAAAACAATGTGTATTATTTATGATACAGGTTTTCTTGAAATGGAAATTTGTTTTATGTTGAATCTTCTCTTATGCCCTGCTGTGTACAGGGCAATGTTTTTTTTTTTTAATTTTCTTTTCTCATTTTGTATTTAAGTTTAAAATGAAAAAAATTATCAAAAAAATAAAAATAAAAAAGTTGGGCTCTTCTCTTAGGGTTGAGGGAGCATTGTTCCAAGCTTCTTGTGCCAGGGACTATAAGCCCTGGCTACTAGCCTGTTGTTGTGCAGAGTTTGCAAGGGTCCAGGCCTTTCACCTGCACTGTGCTGAGGCTAAGGAGGTTCCTTGCCTGTTGCCATGGCTGGGGGTTGGGGGGGGGGTCTGGAGCTGCATTCATTGTCGCCTCAGTCACTGGACCTAGGTTGGGACTCAGTGTCTCCCACTGGCTTGTTGAGGCAATGCCTGCTGCTGACTTTCCGGGACACTGCCTGCCCTGGACTGTGCTTCCCTTTCACCAATGTAAGATAGACTTTTCTTACTGACTTATCAAGTTGTCTTGGACTGGAAAATTGTTTCAATCTATCTTTTTGCTGGTTTTGCCTTTACAGAATTCATTTTGAGACACTATTTTATAGTTGTTGGAGGTGAATTTGGGAGAGTTCAGGTGATTTATTGCTTTCACACTGTCTTGACTCCCAGAAGTCTCTGTCTCTGTCTCTCTAGAATGGAAATAGGTTTTG